TTTATGAAGATAGTTATTGTACATTCCTAGCTATACTAATAAAGTATGTTTTTAGTTTGAATCATGTAACTTCATTAGTAATGAGTTGAATAATTTATAGATAGAAACATAAATTAATGATTCCCTCTAATTTCTCTCCCTCTCCCTTTTTCATATTTCATAGTATTTCACAATTTTCTCCAAATAAAACAAAAAAATTACATACAACAATTATTAGGTTGACCATCAAATAAATCAAAATAAGACTGTAAATAAATGTAAAATTTTCCTTAATAATTTCTATATTGTTTTGAAAATAATAATTGCAATGTTGCAGGTTCGACACAAAATTAGTTTGTTTTTTTTTTTTATTAATTGTTTATGAATAAGCTATCTATCTTAATTTTTTTTCAAAGTTGGTTTATTTTTTATTTTTATCATCAGATATATCATATTAGTCATCATTGGACATAAGCTCATAGGATTTGATGATAAATATGCATTTAAATTTTAACTTGTGCAATATAAATGTAAAAAATATAGAGAATATAATAACGCAAAATTTAGTTTATTGGACATGTGCACAACAGTGAGAAAAATGTGATTTTCTAAATTAAATTTTCAGAATAAATGCATTGTCAAATCATAAATTTCCGCAAGCAATGAGCTTGCTCTAATATATTATTCAAGATTTCAGTGCCGATGGCCTTTTTTTACGGTAATGCAAGTAGAATTGGGTAAAGCCGAATGGAAAACGTTTTTGTAAATCTGTAGATGAGAATGAATTTAGAAGAACTGTATTTATAAGAATATATACATTATTAAAATCTGAAAACAATAAAGAGTCCCAAGAGTTGGAAATCGTGTAATTAATATTTAATTAAACATATAAATTATCGATCTACATATCATAACTGATATGTTTAATTTTATAATACCATATAAGATGGATTTGTTTCCAACCACTACATCTTATAATGACTGGTATGTAGAGATTTTCATAAAAAAAAAAAGCACGCCAAAACTGAAAAAAAAAGAATCCCAAAACTTGGAAACAATATAATTTTAAATTTAATTAAACATAAAAAACGGTTATAAAAATCACAGTTGATTACAAAGTATGTTTAATTTTAGAATTCCATATAAATTGGATTTGTTTACAACAAACGGAGGTTATGTGAAATTATAACTCTAATTTTGTTTAGATATCTAGAATATAAAACCCTTTAAAAGAGTCGCAACAGATGGAAACAATATAATTTTTAATTTTTAAACATAAAAAGAGAGCTAATTAAAAAAATATATAATTTTATATTTCTCTTAAAATTGGGATTCTTTACAGGAAATAAAATCGTGTTACTAACTTATATGCTAGTAATTAGAAAAAAAAATGTATCCATAAAAACACGTGCTTAAAAAATTGTAATTATTAAAAAAATAGTTTTATGTCATGTCAAAAAGTATTATTACACGTGTTATAAAAAAAATCAAATATCAAATATAATTGTATTCATACATTTTTCTAATAAAATTTTATGCAATATTATGTAAAAAAAACAAATTAAGTGAATAGTATTCATTATAAAAAATTGAGCCGCATTTTTTGGAAATGTTTATACCAAATTAATTACTGAAAATCTCCCGCATTTTGTGGGCATTTAATAGCTGAACGTGAAAAAAAGAAAAGGGAAAAGAAGTTGCCATTAATAGTAAATAATTAATGAAGAAAGAGATTTGACCAAAAATTGACATGACATTTTTTAAAAATGGTAAATCTTTTTATATATACTAGTGTGTACCCCGTGCGATGCACGGTAACAATATTACATTAACAATATTATAAATATACCTCGACTTTGAGTCACTCAAACTACTATTGATCCTATTTAAAAAGAGAAGAAAAAAAATAATAATTATATATTAAAGTGTCGGGATCAGACAATGTAAAATTATTTTGTATAAGAGAATATAAATTTTATATTATTTTGTATAATAGAATATAAAATTTGTATGTTTAATATTAAAAATACTTAAAATATTATATTAGTATATGTAAAAGTATTCAAATTTTTTATATTGTTTTTAAAAGATATGAAGTCACCTACAACTTTTCTAAACAATTTTAGAAAGAAAACATATCTAAAAACATTTGAATTTAACATTATGTAAAAAAAATTCTAGACTATTTTGTAAAAAAAGCATGTCTACAAATAATGAAATTTAACATCAATTATATATATGCGTATATGTGTTATATAGACGAATAAGTAGAAAAAAAAATGTTTAAACAATTTGTTTAAAATAACTAAATATTATAAGGCTAATTTAATAAACACCTTCGGTAAAAAAAAAGGAAAAAAAATCAAATATCTACACATTAAATCAGATATAATATTTCGAAATTTCTGCATAAAAAGAGTTTAAATGAAAAGGGAAACAAATCTAACACAATATCTATTATTTTGATAACCTAAAAAATAGGAAAAAGGAAAACATCACAAAAACCACCGCATGTATTATTTTGTTAACCTAAAAAAGATAGGAAAAAGAAAAACATCTCAAAAATCAGTGCGCGGTTTTTTTGTTAACACTATATCAATGTTTATTTAATGATTTTAGAGGGAAAATAATGATTTTAGCCGGTATTTAATAATTTAAGAGGGAAAATAATGATTTTGGCGGGTATTTAATGATTTTGGAGGGAAAATATTAATTTTGGCGGAAAATCATAAAAAAGTTATTCTTTTAATATAATGATAGATATAAATTGTAAAATTAAGGTGATGTTTTATTAAAAAATAAAAAAAGTGACATTTATGACATTCGGTGCGGTTCGGTCAAAACTGCACCCTTCGGACAAAAAACGGAATCGCACCGAAATACTTGTGATTTTTCAAAACTCAAACCGCACCGATAACCGAACTTACAAAAAACCGCACCGAATAGCTCGATTTGGTGCGGTTTTGGGTTTGGGCTCGGGTTTGCTCCCTCACTGTTACTGACATGCACACGCGCGTACATTATTCCACACTCACACTCTCGACCAGTGAAAATCCGCCACCTACCACATTGTCGGCAGGTCCCATTCGACGGCGCAGATTCGTCCACGTCGCGCCCTCTCATTGGCTTCCCGTCACATCAAAACAAAAGCTCCCATTCTGATTGGTCCACTTTTCGCCATTGTAGAAGCTCCACGAAGATTTTTTATCGAGCA